TCCCGCTCTCTCTCTCCCGCTCTCTGTCTCCCGCTCGCTCCCACATTAACATTGTCTGCCCCGCCCATCTCTAAACCTTAATAAACAACCTGCCTCAGCAGATTTCCCCTCTTTTTCACCTGAAGACGATTGCTTGTGTCGCGATCGAAGCAGAAAGACCCAAACAATATAATTCTAGTTATTATAATAACATAATAACAGTTATTATAATAACAACATAATACCAATTATTATAATAACAATATAAGAATAGTTATTATAATAACAACATAATAACAAATACTATAACAACAATATAAGAATAGTTATTATAACAATATGATGACAGTTATTATAATAACAATATAATAACAGTTATTATAATAACAACATAACAACAGTGATTATAATAACAATATAATAATAGTTATTATAATAACAATATAATGACAGTTATTATAATAACAACATAATAACAGTTATTATAATAACGATATCATAACAGTTATTATAACAACAATATGATAATAGTTATTATAATAACAATATAATAGTTATTGTAATAACAACATACTAACAGTTATTATAATTGTTACCACGTGGTTGTTGCTGTAGCTGTTTCGTAAGCGACGTCGTTCCATGTCACCGTGCGGCTGTTTGGCTCTCGAGTAGTCGTCTCGAACAGCGGTGCGGCACAACCCAACAACACAACACAACAACACAACAACACAACACAACAACACAACACAACCCAACACAACAACACAACACAACCCAACACAACAACACAACAACACAACAACACAACAACCCAACACAACAACACAACAACCCAACACAACAACCCAACACAACAACCCAACACAAAAACACAACACAACAACCCAACACAACACAACAACACAACACAACACAACCCAACACAACAACACAACACAACAACACAACACAATAACACAACACAATAACACAACACAACAACACAACACAACAACACAACAACACAGCACAACAACACAACAACACAACAACACAACACAACAACACAACACAACCCAACACAACAACACAACACAACCCAACACAACAACACAACAACACAACAACCCAACACAACAACACAACAACCCAACACAACAACCCAACACAACAACCCAACACAAAAACACAACACAACACAACAACCCAACACAACACAACAACACAACCCAACACAACAACACAACACAACAACACAACACAATAACACAACACAATAACACAACACAACAACACAACACAACAACACAACACAAAACAACACAACCCAACAAAACAACACAACAACACAACACAACAACACAACACAACAACACAACAACACAACAACACAACACAACAACACAACACAACAACACAACACAACAACACAACAACACAACAACACAACACAACAACACAACACAACAACACAACACAACAACACAACAACACAACACAACAACACAACACAACAACACAACACAACAACACAACACAACAACACAACACACACAACAACAAACACAACAACACAACACCACAGCAACACAACAACACAACAACACAACACAACAACACAACACAACAACACAACACAACAACACAACACAACAACACAACACAACAACAACAAACACAACACAACAACACAACACCACAGCAACACAACAACACAACAACACAACAACACAACAACAACACAACACAACAACACAACACAACAACGCAACAACACAACAACAACACAACAACACAACAACACCCCAACACAACAACCCAACACAACAACACAACAACACAACCCAACCCAACAACACAACAACACAACACAACAACACAACACAACGCCACAACAACACAACAACCCAACACAACAACACAACAACACAACAACACAACAACCCAACACAACAACACAACAACACAACAACCCAACACAACAACACAACAACCCAACACAACAACACAACACAACAACACAACACAACAACAACACAACAACACAACAACACAACACAACAACCCAATACAACAACACAACACAACAACCCAACTCAACACAACAAACACAACACCCCAACACAACACAACAACACCACAACACAACAAACACAACACCCCAACACAACACAACAACACCACAACAACACAACAACACAACAACACAACACAACAACACAACACAACAACCCAACACAACAACACAACAACCCAACCCAACACAACAACACAACAACCCAACCCAACACAACAACACAACAACAACACAACAACACAACAACCCAACAACAACACAACAACACAACAACACAACAACACAACACAACAACACAACACAACACCCCAACACAACAACACAACAACCCAACAACAACACAACAACACAACACAACAACACAACACAACAACACAACACAACAACAACAAACACAACACAACAACACAACACCACAGCAACACAACAACACAACAACACAACAACAACACAACAACACAACACAACACAACAACGCAACAACACAACAACAACACAACAACACAACAACACCCCAACACAACAACCCAACACAACAACACAACAACACAACCCAACCCAACAACACAACAACACAACACAACAACACAACACAACGCCACAACAACACAACAACCCAACACAACAACACAACAACACAACAACACAACAACACAACAACCCAACACAACAACACAACAACACAACAACACAACACAACAACACAACAACCCAACACAACAACACAACACAACAACACAACACAACAACAACACAACAACACAACAACACAACACAACAACCCAATACAACAACACAACACAACAACCCAACTCAACACAACAAACACAACACCCCAACACAACACAACAACACCACAACACAACAAACACAACACCCCAACACAACACAACAACACCACAACAACACAACAACACAACAACACAACACAACAACACAACACAACAACCCAACACAACAACACAACAACCCAACCCAACACAACAACACAACAACCCAACCCAACACAACAACACAACAACAACACAACAACACAACAACCCAACAACAACACAACAACACAACAACACAACAACACAACACAACAACACAACACAACACCCCAACACAACAACACAACAACCCAACAACAACACAACAACACAACACAACAACACAACAACACAACAACACAGCAACACAACAACACAACACAACAACACAACACCACAACAACACAACACAACACCACCACAACAACACAACACAACAACACAACAACACAACACAACAACACAACAACCCAACAACAACCCAACAACACAACAACACAACACTACAACACCCCAACACTACAACACAACAACACAACACAACACCCCAACACAACACAACCCAACACAACAACACAACAACCCAACAACAACCCAACAACACAACAACACAACAACACAACAACAACAACAACAACAACAACAACAACACAACAACACAACACAACAACACAACACAACAACCCAACACAACAACACAACAACCCAACCCAACACAACAACACAACAACCCAACCCAACACAACAACACAACAACAACACAACAACACAACAACCCAACAACAACACAACAACACAACAACACAACAACCCAACAATAACACAACAACACAACAACACAACACAACAACACAACAACACAACAACACAACACAACACCCCAACACAACAACACAACAACCCAACAACAACACAACAACACAACACAACAACACAACAACACAACACAACAACACAACACCACAACAACACAACACAACACCACCACAACAACACAACAACACAACAACACAACACAACAACACAACACAACAACACAACAACCCAACAACAACCCAACAACACAACAACACAACACTACAACACCCCAACACTACAACACAACAACACAACACAACACCCCAACACAACACAACCCAACACAACAACACAACACAACAACCCAACCCAACACAACAACACAACAACACAACAAGACAACAACAACACAACAACCCAACAACACAACACCACAACAACACAACAACAACACAACAACACAACAACAAAACACTACAACACAAAAACCCACCACAACACAACAACACAACAACACAACACCCCAACACAATAACCCCCACACCCCCCGCTGTTCACCATACGAGGCCACCACGTGGACCATGACACTCAGCGCAGTTTCTAAACAAACAGCCGCACGGAATAATCGAAGGTCCCGCGTGAATAATCGATAATCGATTAGTTGAGCAGGCAGCAATCGATTTCACCCACCCCGCCCCTCCCCCCCCCCCGAGCCCCTTTGTTAACCTCCCCTCGCCACGTGGTACACGTCTGCCCCCCTCCCCCTCCACAAACCTCCCCCTAGCCCCCCACAAATCTACCCCTCGCCCCCCCCCCACAAACCTCGCCCCCCCCACAAACTTCCCCCCCCACAAACTTCCCCCCCCCCCACAAACGCCCCCCCCCCACAAACCTCCCCCTCGCCCCCCCCCCCCCACAAACCTCCCTCTCACCCCCCCCCCCCCCCCACCAAATTTGCTTCCATCTCGAACCTCTCCACGCGTCATCGCCGTTCCTATGACCGGGGCCCCCCGCCCCCACTGTGGGTCACAGCCCCAGGGCCCCCGCGTGCCTCCACCTCGTCCACCTCGTCCACCTCGTCTACCCCCTCCCCCCCACTGCGGGTTACAGCCCTAGGGCTGCCGCGTGCCTCCACCTCGTCCACCTCGTCCACCTCGTCCACCCTGCAGGTCACAGCCCCAGGGCCCCCGCGTGCCTCCACCTCGTCCACCTCGTCCGCCTCGTCCACCTCGTCCACCTCGTCCACCCCCTCCCCCACTGTGGGTCACAGCCCCAGGGCCGCCGCGTGCCTCCACCTCGTCCACCTCGTCCACTTCGTCCACCTCGTCTACCCCCTCCCCCACCCTGCAGGTTACAGCCCTAGGGCCCCCGCGTGCCTCCGCCTCGTCCACCTCGTCCACCTCGTCCACCCTGCGGGTCACAGCCCCAGGGCCCCCGCGTGCCTCCACCTCGTCCACCTCGTCCACCTCGTCCACCCCCTCCCCCACTGTGGGTCACAGCCCCAGGGCCGCCGCGTGCCTCCTCGCCTTAAGCCGCAGGTCTGCGATGCTTGATGTCTTCGTCTTCGCAGCAGCGGCAGCGGCGGCAGCGGCGGCAGACGAGGAGGTGGACGAGGAGGAGGAGGAGGAGGAGGAGGCGGTGGACGACGACGAGGCGGTGGGATGGGAGCGGTGAGGTTCCAGGAGGAGCCCCCGATCAGCAGGACCCCCGATCCCCGCTGGGCACGTGGCATCCCCTTCATCAATCGCCGGTGCTCGCAGAGTCGGGAGGTGCACGTGGGGGTGGTGCTGGTGGTGGTGGTGCTGGTGCTGGTGGTGGTGGTGGTGTGGCGATGTGTGGTGGTGGTGGTGTGGCGATGTGTGGTGCGTTTGGCTCTCCTGCTCGTGTTGTTGGTGGTGGTGGTGTTGGTGGTGGTGTGGGTGGTGGTGGTGGTGGTGGTGGTGGAGGTGAGGATGGGAGTGAGGAGGAGGAGGTGGTGGAGGAGGTGGAGGAGGTGGAGGGAAGAGCACGTATGGAGGATGAGTGCCTTGCAGAGTTGCATGCGTGGAGATCCCTTCCATTTGGACCTACGAAATGACACCATCAGCATCATCAGCATCATCATCATCAGCAACATCATCAGCAACATCATCAGTCACATTAGCAGCAGTAGCAGCAGCTTCATCATATCATCATCAAGAGTTGCTGCTGGAACAGCCTTATTAAATATAATCAATCAACATCATCATCAGCAGCATCATCATCATCATCAGTAGCAGGGAAATCAGCAGCAGTAGCAGCATCATAATAATAATCAGCATCAGCAGCAGGATAGTCATCACCAATATCACTGCTAATGCAACGTCCTTGTTAAATATAATCATCATCAGCAGCAGCTTAATCATAATAATCATCATCAGCAGCAGCAGCACCACCTGCTGATGCAAGATCCTCATTTAAAAAAAAATCATCATCAGCTTCATGATGATGATGATGATCTGTTGGTGGGGTTTAGGGATTTAGGGCATCAGAGATGAGGGGTCGAGGTGGGGGGCAGTGGTGAAGGGGGGGTTGGGGGTGGGTACAGCAGGGTGATCGTGGGGATCAGACACTTCCGGGGGAGCAGGGGTTCAGTGGATTCGGGGGTTCAGGACTTTAGGGGGATCAGGAGGGATCAAGGGGGGAGGGACGGGGGGTCAGCGAGGGGGGGGGGAGGGAGGGGGGTTCAGTGGATTCGGGGGTTCAGGACTTTAGGGGGATCAGGAGGGATCAAGGGGGGGAGGGACGGGGGGTCAGCGAGGGGGGGGGGAGGGAGGGGGGTTCAGTGGATTCGGGGGTTCAGGACTTTAGGGGGATCAGGAGGGATCAAGGGGGGAGGGACGGGGGGTCAGCGAGGGGGGGGGGAGGGAGGGGGGTTCAGTGGATTCGGGGGTTCAGGACTTTAGGGGGATCAGGAGGGATCAAGGGGGGGAGGGACGGGGGGTCAGCGAGGGGGGGGGGAGGGAGGGGGGTTCAGTGGATTCGGGGGTTCAGGACTTTAGGGGGATCAGGAGGGATCAAGGGGGGAGGGACGGGGGGTCAGCGAGGGGGGGGGGAGGGAGGGGGGTTCAGTGGATTCGGGGGTTCAGGACTTTAGGGGGATCAGGAGGGATCAAGGGGGGAGGGACGGGGGGTCAGCGAGGGGGGGGGGAGGGAGGGGGGTTCAGTGGATTCGGGGGTTCAGGACTTTAGGGGGATCAGGAGGGATCAAGGGGGGAGGGACGGGGGGTCAGCGGGGGGGGGGGGGAGGGAGGGGGGTTCAGTGGATTCGGGGGTTCAGGACTTTAGGGGGATCAGGAGGGATCAAGGGGGGGAGGGACGGGGGGTCAGCGAGGGGGGGGGGAGGGAGGGGGGTTCAGTGGATTCGGGGGTTCAGGACTTTAGGGGGATCAGGAGGGATCAAGGGGGGGAGGGACGGGGGGTCAGCGAGGGGGGGGGAGGGAGGGGGGTTCAGTGGATTCGGGGGTTCAGGACTTTAGGGGGATCAGGAGGGATCAAGGGGGGAGGGACGGGGGGTCAGCGAGGGGGGGGGGAGGGAGGGGGGTTCAGTGGATTCGGGGGTTCAGGACTTTAGGGGGATCAGGAGGGATCAAGGGGGGAGGGACGGGGGGTCAGCGAGGGGGGGGGGGAGGGAGGGGGGTTCAGTGGATTCGGGGGTTCAGGACTTTAGGGGGATCAGGAGGGATCAAGGGGGGAGGGACGGGGGGTCAGCGGGGGGGGGGGGGGGAGGGAGGGGGGTTCAGTGGATTCGGGGGTTCAGGACTTTAGGGGGATCAGGAGGGATCAAGGGGGGAGGGACGGGGGGTCAGCGGGGGGGGGGGGGGGAGGGAGGGGGGTTCAGTGGATTCGGGGGTTCAGGACTTTAGGGGGATCAGGAGGGATCAAGGGGGGAGGGACGGGGGGTCAGCGGGGGGGGGGGGGGAGGGAGGGGGGTTCAGTGGATTCGGGGGTTCAGGACTTTAGGGGGATTAGGAGGGATCAAGGGAGGAGGAAGGGGGGATCAGGGGGGGGAGGGAGGGGGGTTCAGTGGATTCGGGGGTTCAGAACTTTAGGGGGATCAGGAGGGATCAGGGGAGGGTAGGAGGGGGGATCAGGGGGGGGAGGGAGTGGGGTTCAGTGGTATCGGGGGTTCAGGACTTTAGGGGGATCAGGAGGGATCAAGGGGGGAGGCGGGGGGTGCCCACCTGCTGGAAGGGGAGGCGCAGTGAGTTGATGCTGAGGTAGGGGGCCACGTGACAGGCGTCCAGGTGAGAGCTCGCGCTGAAGAACACACCTGGCGGAGGGCGCGCGGCCAATCAGGAGGCAGCCTTCGTGAGCCGGGACGCAAATGAGCCGGCCAATCAGCGAGCCGGACAATCAGCGAGCCGGCCAATCAGCGAGCCGGCCAATTAGCGAGCCGGCCAATTAGCGAGCCGACCAATTAGGGAGCCAGTCAATTAGCGAGCCGACCAATTAGCGAGCCGGCCAATTAGCGAGCCGGCTAATTAGCGAGCCGGTCAATTAGCGAGCCGGCCAATTAGCGAGCCGGTCAATTAAAGAGCCGGCCAATTAGCGAGCCGGCCAATTAGCGAGCCAGCCAATTAGCGAGCCGGTCAATTAAAGAGCCGGCCAATTAGCGAGCCGGCCAATTAGCGAGCCCAACAATTAGCGAGCCGGCCAATTAGCGAGCTGACCAATTAGCGAGCCGACCAATTAGCGAGCCGGCCAATGAGCGAGCCGACCAATTAGCGAGCCGAACAATTAGCGAGCCGACCAATTAGCGAGCCGACCAATTAGCGAGCCGGCCAACTAGCGAGCCGGCCAATTAGCGAGCCGGCCAATTAGCGGGGCCGATTAGTCGGCACGTGAGTGCCTTAGCGGTGAGCCAATGGGTCAGAGCTTTGGTCGACGGGTCGAATCGCTGACCGCGCCGTCTAGGAGATGTTGACTACTGCGCCTGGTGGTATGCAGGTGGTCGTGGGTTCGATCCCGACCCCGACGATGCCTGCTGCTGTATATTTGGAGTGAGTTGGTGAGTTGGTGAGTTGGTGAGTTGGTGAGTCAGTGGGCGAGTAGGTCAGTTGGTGAGAAAATTGCCATTCACCCTCTGGCCTCGCTCTGCCCGTCTAACCTGCAGGTTCTGAGCAAGTGGGTGAGTGGATGAATGAGTGAGTAGGTGAATAAGTGAGTTGGTAAGTGGGGTGATTGAGTGGGTGAGCAGATGAGTTTTTGATTTGGAAAGTTGGTGAGTGAGTGAGTGAGTAGGTGAGCTGGCGCGTGAGTACGTGAGTTTGTGAGTAGGTGAGTGAGTTGATGAGTTGGTGAGTAGGTAAATTGGTGAGTGAGTAGGTGAGTTGGTGATTAGGCGAGTTGTTGAGTGAGTAGGTGAGTTCATGAGTTGGTGAATCGTTGAGTTGGTGAGCGAGTAGGTGAATTGGTGAGTTGGTGAGTGAGTTGATGAATTGGTGAGTAGGTGAGCTGGTGAGTGAGTCGGTGATTTGGTGAGTGAGCGGGTGAGTAGGTGAGTTGGTGAGAAAATTGCCCTTCACCCTCCGGCCTCGCTCTGCCCGTCTAACCTGCAGGTTCTGAGCAAGTGGGTGAGTGGATGAGTGAGTGAGTAGGTGAATAGGTGAGTTGGTAAGTGGGGTGATTGAGTGGGTGAGCAGATGAGTTTGTGATTTGGAGAGTTGATGAGTGAGTGGGTGAGTTGATGAGTAGGTGAATTGGTGATTAGGCGAGTTGATGAGTGAGTAGGTGAGTTGGTGAGTGAGTAGGTGAATTGGTGATTAGGCAAGTTGGTGAGTGAGTAGAAGAGTTGATGAGTGAGTAGGTGAATTGGTGATTAGGCGAATTGGTGAGTGAGTAGGTGAGTTGATGAGTTGGTGAGTAGTTAAGTTGGTGAATGAGTAGGTAATTGGTGAGATGGTGAGTACGTGAGTGAGTAGGTCAATTAGTGAGTAGGCGAGTTGGTGAGTGAGTAGGTGAATTGGTGATTAGGCGAATTGGTGAGTGAGTAGGTGAGTTGATGAGATGGAGAGTAGTTAAGTTGGTGAGTGAGTAGGTGAATTGGTGAGTAAGTGAGTGAGTAGGTCAATTAGTGAGTAGGCGAGTTGGTGAGTGAGTAGGTGAGTTGAGGGAGTTATTGAGTTGGTGATTAGTCGAGTTGGTGAGTACGTGAATTGGTGAGGTGAGTTGGTGAGCAAGTTGGTTAGTTGGTGAGCAGTTGAGTTGATGAGCGAGTAGGTGAATTGGTGAGGTGAGTTGGTGAGTGAATAGGTGAGTTGGTGATAAGGTGAGTTGATGAGTGAGTAGATGAATTGGTGAGAAGGTGAGTTGGTGATTGAATAGGTGAGTTGGTGATAAGGTGAATTGGTGAGTGAGTAAGTTGGTGAGTGAGTTAGCGATCAAATTGTCCATTGACCCAGCTAGTTTGGTTGATTTTCCACTTTGCATATAAGGGGTGCTACCATAGAGCCCCGCGCATGACACGCGCATTACAACTGTACATTATAATTACTCATTATAGTTAATAAATTAGCAATACATTGATTATTATTATGTTATTATTAATACAGGGACTCCACTACATTCAACTTACAGAATTTCAGAGATACGACCAAACCTGGTCCGTATGTCCAGTTGCCTGTTCGGACTGAGAGTCGTAAGTTCAACCACTGTGCAATAGATGGCGGTGGTGGCATCTACATCTATATAACTTGAAGAACCAGTGGCATCTACATCTGCAGGAGATGAAGAACCAGTGGCATCTACATCTGCAGAACGTGAAGAACCAGTGGCATCTACGTCTACAGAACGTGAGAACCAGTGGCATCTACATCTGCAGAATATGAGGAACCAGTGGCATCTACATCTATAGAACGTGAAGAACCAGTGGCATCAACATCTGCAGAACATGAAGAACCAGTGGCATCTACATCTATAGAACATGAAGAACCAGTGGCATCAACATCTGCAGAACATGAAGAACCAGTGGCATCTACATCTACAGAACATGAAGAATCAGTGGCATCTACATCTGCAGGACATGAAGAACCAGTGGCATCTACATCTGCAGAACGTGAAGAACCATGGCATCTACGTCTACAGAACGTGAAGAGCCAGCGGCATCTACATCTGCAGAACGTGAAGAAACAGTAGCATCTACATAACGTGAAGAACCAGCGGCATCTTCATCTGCAGAACGTGAAGAACCAGTGGCATCTACATCTGCAGAACGCGAAGAACCAGTGGCATCTACATCTACAGAACATGAAGAACCAGTGCATCTACATCTGCAGAACATGAAGAACCAGTGGCATCTACATCTACAGAACATTAAGAACCAGTGGCATCTACATCTGCAGTACATGAAGAACCAGCGGCATCTACATTTGCAGAACGTGAAGAACCAGTTGCATCTACATCTGCAGAAAGTGAAAAACCAGTGACATCTACATCTGCAGAACGTGAAGAACTAGTGGCATCTACATCTACAGAACATGAAGAACCAGCGGCATCTGCATGTGCAGAACGTGAAGAACCAGTGGCATCTACATCTGCAGAACATGAAGAACCAGCGGAATCTACATCTGCAGAACGTGAAGAACCAGTGCCATCTACATCTGCAGAACGTGAAGAACCAGTGGCATCTACATCTACAGAACGTGAAGAACCAGCGGCATCTACACCTGCAGAACGTGACGAACCAGTGGCATCTACATCTACAGAACATGAAGAACCAGTGGCATCTACAGAACATGAAGAACCAGCGGCATCTACATCTGCAGAACGTGAAGAACCAGCGGCATCTACATCTGAAGAACGTGAAGAACCAGTGGCATCTACATCTACAGAACATGATGAACCAGCGGCATCTACATCTGCAGAACGTGAAGAACCAGTGGCATCTACATCTGCAGAACGTGAAGAACGAGTGGCATCTACATCTACAGAACATGAAGAAGCAATGGCATCTACATCTACAGAACATGAAGAACCAGCGGCATCTACATCTGCAGAACGTGAAGAACCAGTGGCATCTACATCTGCAGAACGTGAAGAACCAGTGGCATCTACATCTGCAGAACGTGAAGAACCAGTGGCATCTACATCTGCAAAACGTGAAGAACCAGTGGCATCTACATCTACAGGACGTGAAGAACCAGTGGCATCTACATCTGCAGGACGTGAAGAACCAGTGGCATCTACATCTACAGAACGTGAAGAACCAGTGGCATTTACATCTACAAAACATGAAGAACCAGCGGCATCTGCATCTGCAGAACGTGAAGAACCAGTGGCATCTACATCTGCAGAACGTGAAGAAACAGTGGCATCTACATCTACAGAACATGAAGAACCAGTGGCATCTACATCTACAGAACGTGAAGAACCAGTGGCATCTACATCTACAGAATGCGAAGAACCAGTGGCATCTACATCTGCAGAACGTGAAGAACCAGTGGCATCTACATCTGCAGAACGTGAAGGACCAGTGGCATCTACATCTGCAGAACGTGAAGAACCAGTGGCATCTACATCTACAGGACGTGAAGAACCAGTGGCATCTACATCTACAAAACATGAAGAACCAGCCGCATCTACATCTACAGAACATGAAGAACCAGTGGCATCTGGCTCTCGCGTAAACATTATTTTATAATGTAAACAAAACGTTGCTCTTCTTGACCAATGGGTTTTAAGGATTGTTGGTTTTATTAAACGATGCCTTTAAAACTGAAAACTACTTACCTGCAGTACCTCTGTAAATGCACTATCGAAAAAAATAACGTACACCCCTCCGTCAAATCGCCGTCAGTCTCAGTGTGGATTCATGAACGCACTTTGTAAGCAGTGCATACAATAATACGCGTTTTCACTGCGCTGTTCATATTGTCACAAGCGTTTATACCAATGTTACTCTACAGAGTAGTGGGTCGCCGCTCCTCTCATCCGCATTGATACGAGCGGTAAGTGGGGACTACGGCTTAACTGCAAAAGCAACCTATCGGCACAGCATTATCAAACAGGAGGAATCAACGTTGCAACGCATCTCATCCGTTAAACATCTACACGTCATGGGATTGCCATCGATTGATCCTGGCTGCAGACATCGGTAGTTCACAATTAATAAATGAAGACATTAGAGCAGTCTCACTGTATCACGCAAAACATAAATGAGTTAACATTATGAGACCTCCTTTGCCAGAAACAAGATATAGGAATAGGTTTTACCCTTTTAACTGGCACAAAAAACTGATACCTTTATTCAAGGCATCATGTTTGCAATGACCA